AACAAGTTTAAATTGGAAAATGTTTTATTTAGACCTAGGTTTTGCTTGTGACTTTTAACTTGCTCCTTTTTACTGAATAGAGTAATTGATTGACTGCTTTGGAAGTAGTTTTGAGGAGGTTGATCATAATTCGATGACATACCGAACATGAACAGATGCCTGGTGTGTAAGTAATGAATGTATGTATCATCTCTGGTTGGATTAACACAAGCATATGTGTGCGTGACTATTTTTAGTATCTTCTGAATATACATGGGTTGTCTCAACATGGAGCAAAGGTGATAAATATTTTAGGTTAAATAAATTAGCAAACAAGAATTGTGAAACTGTTGTGAATTTGCCATGTTTTTTTTAAAGCCACTTTCTGCTGAAAAAGGAAAACCAGATGCACATATGAGGGACTTAAGTAGGCGTGCACCAGGATATCAGTTGGCTATCAGATTGGCCCTGATAAAAGGAGAAATGATGTTATTGGCTATTTTTGGTTGTCATAGGAAATCATTATGGCTGCATGCCTGGAACACCCTGGTGAGTGCAGTTCAATCTCTGTGTCCTGCTGCTGGTCCGAGCCTGCAGCAAGCTACAGGTCCAGCGAGCAGCGGGAGGGAGAGGGGGTGCCAGGGAATGGTCACAGGGAGCCATGGCCAGCAATAAAGGGACTGTCAGTAGCTGCTGCAGAGACGTTGGGTTGCACACAGGCAGGGTAAGGTGCTACACCAGGGATGTTCTGCTCTGCTTGGGCGCCTTTGCAAAAGCAACTTGTCGCTGGTGTCCATGAGAGCTTGGCTGCACGGGGCCCACCAGTGCTGAGGCAGCAGTGTGCTTTGGGGCTCCAAATGTGCCGGGTGCCACTGTCCGTACAAGGGATGGCAGCACGGGACTGTGCTTCTCCAACCTCTTTTTCCGCCTCTTCCTTCCCCAAAAGAACAGGATGTCGAGGTGATAAAAGCACGTAAGCCCCAAATGAAATAACCTGAGGAGCCAGGAACAGCAATTCACCCCTATTACTAGGACTAACATTTCCCATTGGTTGCCTTCATTGAGCTGGGATTCTCTTGCGCCCAGGATGGCAGCATGGGCTGCGCGGGGAATGGGACTGTGGGTAGGAGCTGTGAGCGAGGGGGACGTTGTGCATGGGAATAAGGCAGTCACCACTTTCCTTGTCAAGGGTCGGAGTAGGCAGGAGGCAGCTCCTGGTCTGTGGGATGCCCAATGCAATGTTTTGAGTTGCTTTGTGGAGCTTGAAATAAGAACAGATTTATGTCAGTAGTTTAAAATGCCTTGCACTGTTACTAAGTATTGATTATCAGATCAGCATCAGTCAATGTGGTTAGTTAATCATAGGCTATTGGTATTGGCCAAGAAATACTTTTATCAGTGCACCCCTAGACTTAAGTGGCATTTGCTTCCCTGTTCTATCCAAACTTCATTAAGCTTTTCCCTGGGATAATAATTGCATTTTGTTTCAGTGGCTTTTTGTTCTGAGCTTGTACATTGCCGAGCACCATAGTCCAGACATATGACTATCCACATAATAACAATATGAACAATTATTCATTTACCCCTGAATAACATCACTGGTTTATTCAGTTCCTACCCCCACTAAAAATAAACCAGATAAAACATAGAGTTTAACCATTCTTTCCTCTGAATGTTGATAGATTTTTTTTCTAAATGGCTTCTCTGAGAAGAACTTAAAAGTGTACAAGCATTTTTAAAATAAGAAATGTTTCTGAAGAGATGGACAGGGCGTTTTGAAAAAGAATGACAAAAAAGCATGTTCAAGATAAATTTTAAAGGGGATAGAGAGTGGGAATATCCACATTTTTTAGTGCCTGAAGAGAAGTGATCTGTATTTAAAAGCTTATCTAAGTCTATCCCACCTAATAAAAGATATCACACATGAAGATCCTTGCCTTTATGCTATAAATATTTTCCCCCATCCATAAATTCCTACTGAGGTGTACATTAGGTTTTTGCCCCAAATGGCTATTATCTTCTTAGACTCGACTGAAGATTATAGACGACACTTTTTTTTTAAATGGGAGGCGATGGTTATTCCTTTAGAAATGGCCCATCATTTACTTAGATTTCAGTTTGCGTTGAGTAGCACATACATGGTGATCATCACTCTCTTGTTATGGGAAGTGTAATACTGAATTAGTGGTTAGGCCCTAAATTACTTAAGGTGAGCCGTCTCTAAATAAAATGCATTCATCTTAAAGGATAGATATGAGGAACAGTTTACACCTTCTGGAGTGAACGTTGTAAATTGGCACGCTCAAATCCAACTTCTGGTGTCTAGTAAATTAATGTTGTTATACTGCTGTGGACACGCATGAGGACACATGAGCTTCCCATACCTGTTCATATGCTGCTGCATGTATAATAGTTGGTGCTGACACCATTTTTTTCCCTGGTTCTGTGCTGTGTCCTGTGTAACTTGAACACTCACCAACCATGTTGAATTACCATTGAATTCCTGGTATGCAAGCAGAAAGTTCCAAGCAAAATGCAACTGCATTGTAGGTAGTGCCTGCTAATTTTGTTACATGTGTTGATGGAGTGTGGGAAAACAGATGGAACAAGCTTTACCAAATGCATTTTGAAAAGCATGTAAGCATGTAGAAACAAGTGACAGGGCCGCTATTAATACTTGAAAGGCTCTATAGCCATAGTTAAATATAATACCTTTTGAAAAATAAATGCCACCTTTTTCATAACACAGTTAATAATTGCAGCGCATTCAAACATTTTTGATTTGATCCAGCTACCTCATAATGTTATTCTGCTTTGCTAAGGAAACCTGGGGGAATGATGCACTTGCCCACACAAGTTCTGTTTTGTTTTCTTGTTTCCTGAAGTGTTCTTGTTTCCACTGTCCCTAAATCTTTTAGTGTATTTGCAGTGTATATTTTGTATCACTGGTACTTTTGTGCTCGGTTCACCTGCAGTGCGTGACTTTTTTTTGCCTTAGCATGCGTAAAACCAAGGTGAAATTAGATTTTTTTTTTTTTTTTTTTAATTGTGGTTCCATTTAAAAAAAAGAGTATCAGTAGACTTATCTCAAGTTGAGGTTGAAAGGGTTTTTAGGCTACCAGAAGCTAGAAGCATCACTTAGATGGCCCTTGCAACTATAAAAGAGTGAAGGAAGGTTTGTTCAGCTGCACTAGCAGCCCTTGCTAATAAAATATTAAAAATACTTCCCAGCTGATGACCCAGAAGTGCTTTACAAATATTGAGGAATCTTAGCTCACTTTTGCTGTAGCCAAGTCTTTACCTGTCTTATACAGAAGACAATGCTGAGAGACAGATATTAATAGATTTACCCAAGGTCACACTAGAAGTGGATGATGCAGCCAGGAATAGAACCTAGCATTCGTGACTTGCCTTGGACCTTACCCATGAAGTTTTTCTTTCTCCTAAGACTGCCTGTGAAGTGATGTGGAAATCTGAAGCAGAGTATTTTCAGCAGTAGGAATAGGGGGATGTCAGATTCTGTGCCCAGCGGTTATTTAAAGAGGCTGTATGAACCTACATGCAAAAACAGAGCCTCGTCATTTGGGTTGGTGTCAGGAGCTTACTTACAGAGAAGACCAGAGTTGATAGGGTTGGTTGAAGGACTGGGGTTGACTGTTAAAGCTGGGTTGAAAATGTTTTGTGCACGTTTAATTGTTTAGAAATTTTGAATAGAGAGGTTGTTTTAGACTTGTAATGATGTGGATAACAGTTTGGGGGATAACAAGTAGGGCACATAAAGGGCCAAGGTGCATAAAGAAAAATAAATATATAATCTTAATCTTTAACATCTCCATCATCCTCTAGATTTGTAGGCAAGCGAGGCACAGAGAAGCTAGCAGGTCAGTTTGGATAGAGATCTGAGTTCAGTTCTACTTGGAAACTAAATCTTATGTCCTGACTTCCCCTGCAGAAACGGTCACTAACAAACATCCTTGACCATCACTAACACAGATTTCTTGATGCAAAAACAATAAGGATGTAACATTGCATGTGTAATCATGCTAGCAAACAATTGGACATAACAATCTTTTCATGAGCCATTATATTCCAGGGAAATGTTAATAGTAGTTCAGATGTTTCCAAAGGTCACACACCAAAGAACTCCGTCTTTCCAAACTAAAGGAGAATAATAACATATCATGGAATTTGGGCTAAAGATGGGTATTCCCTCTTCCCTTCCCTGCTCACAGTTCTGTAATAACAGCTGTCAATCAGGAAGAAATAACTTGAACCAACAGCATTGACTGTTCATTCTTTTGAAAAGTTAAATGAGTGCCAGGGGTTCATATGCCACAGACAAATATTTCATTTCAGTTGGATGTGTGGGTGTACAGCATGCCTTAAGTTTTGGCTCTACATCATTTTATAAAAGTATATTTTTAATACTGTTATTTTTTTGTGCAAGGGGATGTGCAGTTGTGATCACAAAGGAGCAACCCGAGTCTTTCAAGCTGCTTTACAGCCTCAACTTCTAGCACTAGAGAATGAAAGTAAATAACTGGTAGCAACAGTCTAAAGCACTTTACATTCTGTGCTTTCAAAAGTTTTTATAGCATTTCACTACAATCATAGTGAATGGCAACAGGTGCCTCAATGCACAAGATAGACAAGGACTTTTGCAGCCAAAATCACGTCCTTCAAAACATAATTTAAGATTTGGCAGTGGGAGAATATTCCATAAGTCTATTTCAGCTTTGCATACCTGTCACTCGTTACATATATTTCTTGTTTCTCCACTGTGGTTTAGTAATCTATCACTTGCTGGGACCAGATATATGGGTCACCAGTTTTGTATGCCAGACTTCTGCAGGTGGAGTGGTGTTTATCTTGCAAAATAGAATACATAGCTGATGCTTTACTGGGGACGAGTGAGGACTGGAGGGGGATGAATGTCACGCAGAAAAGAAAAATGAGTCTGAAAGAACTAGAAACCAGAGTAAGACATTAGGAAATTTGTTTTGGCCAAGTTCTGGGATGAGTTAGATTAATCAAGCATGATGAGCCACTTTATTTTCATTTAAATAAGCATATAGACTGATGCATTCAACAGCCAAAAGAACTTTGATTATACAAATTCTAACTGTTCCTCTTAAAATCCATTTAACTCCAGTAGTTGAGAGGCAGTTTTTTTAAATCCCTCTTTTAGATTTATTTAGAGTCAAGGTTGGACAATGAACCCCCACCCTACCCAGGAGAAGTTTCCAAAACTCTGGAAGGAAGACATTTGATTGGGTGATCTAATAAGTCTCACCCTTGCTTGGTCAAGAATCCCTGTTTAGGACAGAAAATCAGGAAGTTACAAGGGTTTCTGTGCACAAGACCTACTTCTCCAGGTTCTTCTTGCTTGGTTATGAGACTTCCCTTTTCCATTGGAAAGTTTCTTTCTGGAATGTCTTTCTTCTCCATAAAACCT